CAGGGTCCAACTTTTTGCTGCGTCCGGCAATCCCGACAACGCTGCTGTACCTGTCACGCCTGCATTACTCCACGAAGTCTGAGGAGATAGTGGAGTACATCAGGTTGAAATCCAAATACACCCTGAGGGTCGAGCGGTTGGAGTCCCGCCACTACGTGAACTTTAATTCGTTTGTGGTGAGAGTGCCGACCGAACATCTGTCGACCTTCATGAAGGAGGAGTTCTGGCCGAAGGGTGTCCTATACCGGCGATTCCGTGGCCGGTTGCCTGACACCAGATGGCGCCACACGTCGCCGACAACCTAAATACGTGTTAAATTAGTAATTAGTGTTATTTTATATTGTTATGTATGTTAGTCTGTAAGGTATGTATCTATGGGTCTCAGTAACCTGAATATAAATAAATAAAAAAAAAAAATAAAAAAATAAACAAGTATTAAGATCACCCACCAATATTACATGGTCGTAAGAGGCACTCAAGGATTCAAGGGTTGTCTCAAATAAGTCAAAATAATTTACATTAATACTAGGGCTGTAAGTAACGCCTACTGAGATATTGGTGTGGTGTAAGTTGACGTCCAGAAACAGATACTCTAAAGACCCAGTGTAAGTGTTAGGAGACTGGCTGACAATGGAGCATGGGATGTGGTTCTTGATATATACGTACACCACCACCACCAATCCCAACTCTATCGTTACGATATAATTTATATCCATTGAGTGAAAAAAGGGAAGTGAAGTGAAGAAGAATTGAGTGGAAGAGAAGGTTTAAGCCAAGATTCTGAAATTAGGATTACATCCACTATGCCGTTGTTGAATGACGTATTTAATTCGGAGATGTGTGCAGGGACACTTTGCGCGTTAATATGCACTAGGTTCAAGAAATTAGATTTTCCATGAAATATTGAACGCAGCTTAACATCTAGTGAAGGCCCATCGGAGTCAGAAGAAATAGAAAAATCACTACAAGCACTTTCAAATTCATCAGATGAGCTATCGGTAATATAACTAGAGTTTATAGACATAAATATAAATTAATAAATATGTAAATTATAAGTAATAAAACAATATATGTATACACCAAAATACTACAAATAAGATAGATAAGCAAAATTAAGAACAAATAAAATGAAAATAAAATACAAAAAATTAGATCACCAGCGAGAGTTGGCAACACAATACACAAAGGCAAATAAATTTATTTACTAACAAAATCATCAAAGCCATAAAGTTACAATTCATAACTGGACTTTGTTTAAATATCCTTAATATTTCGACTGGTTTACTTGAATACATAGTTACGGAGAAAAAAAAACTATTTCATTATCAGTTTAAATTTTAGAAGGAAACGTCACATTGATATTTCCACTGAATGAAGTACTCTAATCCAAAGTTACTAAAACAAATAATAAAAAAAACAATTATGAAGCAAAAAAAATTTTAGAACGAAAAATCATATTGACAGTTTGAGCTGACATTAAGCAAATGAGCATTATGTTTATGGGGTATAATTTTAATTTTCAAATAATGAAATACCTTACTATTTTAGAGGAAGGAAAGTAGCATAAATCGGAGGTACTTAAATACAAGTTCAATGTTATAAATACGGAAGTGGAAGTACCTCACAATAAACACGATAATTACATTGGTTGATAACTTAGCTGCCTGCCGTGGATGGAAAACTGGCCTGGAGCTTTTGTAATTCACCAAACTCCGTGATATTTCTTCTGCTTTTGTCCGGCAATATCACGACTATGGTACCACCAGACGACCAACAGTTTTTAATGCCGAAATGCTTACGGGCCATAGCAAATTAGTTCTGCCTTGACTTTGTCAGAAACTCCGACATGGAAATTCTCGTGCCCTTTAACGTTGTTTTGGCCTTCCATACGACAGATCTACTTTTATAACTCACAAAACGGACTAGCACAGGGCGAGTACGGTCTTTTTTAGCGGTCCCTAGTCGGTGACAGGTCTCTATGCACTCTGGTCGAATTTGCATTAACTTCAATCTACCGCCTAGCACCTCAAGCACCCTAGTAGCAATGTTCTCCTTATTGTCCTCTGGCAAACCATGAAACAACAAAACCTTACGCCTAGAATGTGTCTCCAGACGATACCTGTGTGGAGAAGATCTAGCTGCATTTTCAATATTTTGACCGCATTTACTATGAGTGTTTTGAACTGCTGATAGTCTGCAGATAAGGCTTTAACCGTTTGCAGCTGGGCAGCAGGGACAGATAGTGTGCTGCTGAAGAGCCTTTTCAAAGTCCTCCATGCGGGAGTGAAAAAATGAAGTGAGGTCTTGAAGTGTACGACTAACTTCAACAGCATCCATGGCCAGCAAATAAGTTTTCCAGGACCCAAGTGATGTGATACAAAGTGGTTCTGAGAGGTTGTGATTGTGGTGATATGGAGAAAGGTGCAATTGAAAATTTGTTATAGCCAACACTCACTGGCATAATATACTAACACATTTATGTAAAATTATAACTGTAAGTATACTTAAACTATTTAAATAAATTAAAATATACAGAGCAAATTCCAAGGGGTCTTATTCTTTCGAAGTACCCGCGTTTAGTCAACTATTATTAAAAATTTTACGTCACCAATAACCATTTTTATAAATTAACTATGACGATGCTTCGTCTTTCCCTTCCGAGAGTTAGCTTTATTCCGGTTAGTATGAAAATCGCTGGTGCTCTGTCT